ATTTTATACAACAAATGATAGTAAATAACCATGTAAACTTCAGAAAGCGAAGCCAAGGAAAAACAACTCACCAACAGCGCTTTCGCCCAACAGTACAAGCTTGAACTGGCAGGTCTTATTTGCACCACCAGCGCGAGGAGCAGGAGCGGACCGGTTTGCCATACCACTGGAAAGCATTTCCGATTTCATTAGTGTTCAAAACCGTGGACAACATGTTCACAAACTGACAAGAGGCTTTAAAGACGAGTTCTAGACATAAAAAATAGGAGGCATTGGGACCAAACGGACCAAGACACGAACTACAGAATATGAATTTTGGAAAACATCGAAAAAACTGCTCCTTCAATCACAGGGCAAAGCTCAAAGACCCGTGTCCAGCGATGACACAGAAATCGAGCTCAATTTCACTGCGTATGCACGACAGTCGTCGACTTGTCTGAGTATTGACCGCCATGCACAATGTTTTTCAAGACGTTCTAGGCAGGACCTACATTTTAAACAATTGCCGCCGCTTTCTTCACGGCGATTGTTCAGACTGCTTTCTGGGTCAAGATGTCCCGCTTGTTCAAGGGAAAGTGCTTATCTTTCTTCTAATCCTCTATTTTTTAGTACTTTCATGTCCTAGAACTGCTTTGCAATGCTGTGGGTGTTCTTCATGGAAATCATGTATTTTCATCGTCATTTAGGTTTCTTGGGGTGGCTTTTGTGCTCAGTTGTACTTCTATAACTGTTATAATAAGAACATTTTCGTAGAGCGCTCAGTAAGTGCTGCTAGGAAAAAGCTCATGTATAAATATATAGTGATACTCCGTGACAGCACCTAGGCCAAGTGCCGTAATAAGGGTTCTAGCAGCCATAGAAAGTACCTCGATTTCATCCTTCTCGTCATCTTCAGTAGTCTGGCTATTGAAGGCAGCAGGTGCGTTGCTACTGCATACTTCTTTGAGATGAACCGAGCCTAGCGCACATCTTCATGTCTACAACATTACGGATTTTTTTATAATTCTTTGATTTTTGCTGCTCTTATTCATATAAGAGCATTGTTTCCTCAAGAGTAAACAGGAAACTTAGGAACAG